GCCCGAAGGCCAGCCCACCCAGGAAGGTACACGAAGGCTAATTCAAAGCACAAAAGTGGCGCCTCGCCAATCCCGAGGGACAAACCACCATCGTATCACAGTTAACACCTCAGGGCAGATGTCCTTACCAAATAGCGTGGGCAAGTCAATGGAAGTGCTACTCGCCGGGACAAATCTAGATGCTAACTAGATAAAAGCTGCCGAAGACCAAGTCAAGCCTTCCAACCTGGATCTCCCTGTCCGCTAAACCATGCATAATTATGGTAAGAAATTGACCTGAATGTAGTATCTACCAATGAGAAAGAAGTAGACAAGGGTGCAGTTTTCAGAATGTCTAGGAAATATCTGCAAGAATAAAAGATTTAGGATGGACATTATTTCTGGAGTTGTGAGTGTCCCCAGCAGCTTGTCAACAAACAGAAAATTTATGAGGTATTGATAGGCCGAACAAAGGTGTTAGTGGGTGAATATCGAGTGGTGATCGTGCCTTGTAGGAATATTTACCTACGAGCCAAACCCATCTGATAACTTGGCTTCTAAGAACTTCATTTGTAGCTCTTTCGCGCACCCACTTTGATACCATCCGGCCATTTATCTGATTGTTAGACCTCATTTAATTGTTACCAGCTCCAAGGGACTAGGCTTCGGTAGGTCTTTGTTACTAAAAGCTACAACTATTTCAGTAAGGCCTTCTCCCCATCACTAAGCGGGATGCAAATTGTGCAATTGAAATAGGCGGTAAAAGTATGCGCAAGTTTAGCAATCCTTTCTCAGATTTGGCCGTTCACGGCAAATGCCCTTCTTCAATGAAAAGTTGGTCAATCCGCTCAGGATTTGGCCATCAAAAGGGACTTCGTGTGCTGCACGCGACGGGATTAGGCAAGAGACAAATCGTTCTGCCAGAACAGGGAGCAATAATTGTTCTTGCCATAGACAAATCTTCCAGTGCCTAAGCATGTCAGATACTAGCTAAACTGTCAGCACAAGTGTATAACATGCCATAGAGAATCGTATGAAAGCGAAGCGCGGGTTACACCCATCGAAAAGTGTTCTTGTCCTGCGTAGGCCGCTTTGTCTGGCGAATTCTATCCTACTGCCACCAATCCAACAACCGATTTACCCCTGGAGCCAGTAGAGCCGAGAAATTGTTTTGTAATAGATGTGTAAAAAGATTCCCCGACTGTATAGGCTTCTGTAATTGTGCAAGTAGTAAAAAAAAATCTGTCGCCTTAAAATGCATAAAAAGAAGTCAGATTGTTTCTCCATCACTACGCAGACCACTGCTAATTGGGGCTAGCGCCAACTGTCTTGCCAAAGTGATAAAATAGGGCTTTAGAATCCACACCTCGCTTCTATCTTTGTCCCTACCACCACTCCTATGCAGGGGAGGATTGGCCAGTGCTCGCAGCAACGCCCTAAAGTGGCGTCCAGTCAATTTTCCATCCCTCGCCGTCAAAGTCAGTTTCTTCGTCATCAGGATCTCCTTAAAACGCTCTGCAATGGCTTCCGTACTGGTGGACGGGATAGTAACATTCTCTTCGGTGAAGAGAGCAAGAAGCTTAAGAGCCAGATTCCGAAGTTCCTTTTCCTGATTTTCCACGCAAGGAAAACCTCCTTTTTGAAACGTAGAAGCGTCAGTTGAAGGCCCCACCACGGCCATACTTCGATGCCGACGTTCGCGGATCAGTTCCAGTAAGAGACGAGAGCTCAAACGATTGTGCCCGGCATAGAGCAGGTTGTTTGAAGCATCTCCCGGTCTCAAAGGCCCCGACTCGCCTTGTAGTTTGTAGGCAAGCTGAAAGGCAAAATCTCAGTTATGCTGGAAGGCGACCAATAGTTTCTACTTCTTCTCTCCCTTACGTAGAGCGGACAACCTATCTCCTTCGGCGACCAAAGAAATCGGTTTTTGACCAGTCCAAAGGTGACACCAGGCAGTGGCTTTGACGCAGTCCACTGGATCTCGTCTATCTGCTGTGTCTGAGATTTCAACCAGGCGACAACGTTGTTGGCTAATCGAGACGCTTGAAGACGTTCCAACGTTGGATCCACGCGTTCTTCGGACATCAGAAAGTTGTCCATTAACTTGTCATGGTTAACACAGGTTAGGCCTTGCAAGCGCTTCCTTATCGTAGAAACCACCTTCTTTTTCCTCTTCTCTGTCTTCCTTCTTATTGCCTTTAGCGCAGCCTTGGCAACCCGTTTGGCCTCCACTTTCATGTCCTCGTCCACTTCCTCTCGCTTTCGCTTCAAAATAACCGACTTTTCGTCCGCATTCGCACCACAAATTACCGAAGTGACGAACGGATCCATTTCCTCTTTTTGCGGCCGCTTATCTCCGCCCTTTGCTTCCCCTTCATCGAATCGGGACCGTCGCTCTACTCCGCGAATCCTACGTCCATCCACGTGCGTCCCGCGCCGAGTATAGCGCTCTACAAGCTGCCTGCTTAAGCGTCGAGCCTGAGCTCTTAAACGTGCCTCGCGTTGGGCTGGTGTTTCTTCCACATTCCCTACATCTCTCTCCACCTCTTCCACCACTTCCGGCTTAACGTCCTCTTCGTCCGATGTACTGACGATATCTCGAAGCTTCACCGGGTGGCTGGAAAAAAGGCGATCGAAGCGGTTCTCCGTCACGGCGTGCCTGGGTACCCCGATGGCCCTGAAAAAGGACACCGACTTGGGCTGTTGACCACCGTTTGCATCAGAGGGGAGAGCGTCTCCTAGGCAAAATAGTTCGTAAAGGCTGTTGATTTTGAAGAAACGCTGTTGACGCGGATTCTTCAGCACTCGATTGGCGAGGAATTGCTTAAAGATTTGTCTAAAAGGGAGGGAGGGAGAGGGAAAGAGAAATGAAACAAATGATGGGATCAGTCATTTGAAGGTAGAAATTTGTTGATCCGCATTTTGGCTATGGAGCAGAATAGGGAGCACCTTCCACGTTAATCCCTGTTGAAAAGATTGGGAAATGTTAACCCCTTGAGACGAAGTTAGAAATAGCCAATTTGTGGAATTATATTTAGAATGAGAACACAAAATGGTAGTGATTTGTGTCAGCATCATAGAAACGGAGGTTAGACGCGGAGAACATGGTGGGTTAGGCTAATATGCAATCAAGACATAAATTGAAGAAGCATTTTAGCAACCAAGAGTCAAACAGAAGACCGATCAAGCAGGCGGCATTTCGCCAAATGCTTCATGAATTCACTTACTAATTCAATTGACAAGCAATTAAGATCTTTGTCCGATTTAACGGAAAAAACGTTACTTAAACGGTACGTTCGGATCAAATTGGCACTTTTAAGTTTACAGAGGGTGGAAGAAACACATTCCAAGGGGTGAAAAGTAAATTTCTGCTGGATGATTGAAAGAATCGTTTGTATAAATTAACCGTCTGGAACGGCTCACCGACTTGGCAAAAGCCAAGATGTTCTCGATTGATTTTCTTCAGCATTTAAAGGTGAGTCTCCTGCGCAACTTCACTTCTTGTTAAACTACAACCAGGCGTTTAGGATCAGGTGTTCCACACACCGGACTGAATGCCCACGGGAATGACTGCTTTGGCGACGGGCTGGGAACAGAACCGCCACAACCGAGATCTTCATTGACGAAACTATCCGCGTCTTGCTGCTAAACAATTGGGCGTCCTATCACAGCAGTGTGCTACTCTTGGTCTGCTATGCATACGATTATCGGCTTGTTTTACACTTTTACTCAAAAGATACAACATTAACCATCCCCCGACACACACTATCATTTTTAAAAGCCATCTTGATAAAGAGCGGGCAGACTGTTTTACGACAGATGCGTCAGCTATTAAGAATGCGCATACAATGTCGCTTGAGGTTCCAACAGTAGTGCCGGAGGCTTCCGTGCGGATGATGATGATTTAAGCAGTTTCGACGGAAGTCAGAGCTTTCGAAGGTGGTGGTGCAAGGGATGATGCTTTACGTGGTGGTGACGGTCCTGTTGGTATTTTTGGTAGAGTCACCAAAGGTTTACGCGTTGACACTTCTGGTGACGGTGGCGTTACGGAAAGTGTTTGCGGCGATAGTCGTGGTAGTGTCAGCTATTGGTTTTTTACCCTGCAGCACATATTCAACTTCCAAGCAGATAAGAACCCACCATCAAATCGAATTCAAAATTTTATCCTGCTAACCCACTCCTGAGAAACCTTTTCCCCAGCCACAAAGAACCAAAAACATTCATCGGGCCACTTCACGAGATGAAACCCCAGGCTTGCCAGACCACCTACCTCTGATAGACCTTTTCCTCGATCGTCCCGCTGGTAAGCAGACGATATACCATCACCTCACGCTCCTGTCCGATCCGCCAGGCGCGCTCTCGAGCTTGCGCATCGGTAGAGGGATTCCAGTCGGGATCGAATATAAGCACTCGATCTGCGCCGGTCAAATTCACTCCCAGGCCTCCCACCCTTGTGGTGAGGAGGAAGAGGAAGTAGCTTTGTGGACCCCCGGAAGTAGTAGTTGAATTGAACTGCTCCACGAGATGTTGACGCTGCCTCATCGGTGTGCCACCATCCATGCGCAGGTAGGTGTAGCCACGGCGGGAGGCGTGCCGCTCCAGGATGTTCAGCATCTTGGAGAAGGAAAAATGAAAGTGTATGCTGTCGTCGACGATATCTCTTTTTCTGGCTTATTGGGTACTGGGTTGGTAAGACACTGCAACTACAGTGGCGCTCAAGACATGGCTGGAGCTGCAAAGCATGCCGTCCGATTTGCAAAAGGAATCTGATTTTACACCATTGCAACGATACCACATGCATGTCGCTAGCCAGTCTAGTACAGACACGAATAATGAAAATGCCAGGCGTTAGCGACAGTGTGTGAACGGAACAACCTGTAAGAAGGAATGTAGTTACTTGTGAGCAAAAAGCTCGTGTAAAACTCGCGGATACTGGTGTAGAAGAGAATTTCAGCGTAACACAGTATGGGACTAGCAGTTAGATGTATAAATGGTGTTAAGGCTTAAAAAACGGCAAGCCGCTGTGGTTTCCTGCCCAGGACACCACAATAACAGTCATTCTTGTGAGCATTTAACTCAGTGCGTAAAGTCAGACCTTGGACGTTTGGTAAACGGAAAGACCAACCTTTACGAGAACAGTTAAAAAAACCGTATACGAACACTTGCGAAATCGGGAGGTTAGCGGACGCCGACTATCAAAGAAAGTGACTGCCCTAAAGTGGTTCAGGAGCTGGACTTTGAAAACATCATATTGATATGAGTGCAGTGAGGACGACGTTCGAAACAAAGAACTATTTGGCCACTCCACCCAGGCAAAAATAAGCAAGTGGAACAATAAAAAACACAGGGAAAGTTCACTCACTTTACGACTCTGTGTAAACAACAAAACCTTGTGTTTCTGCTCCCACCAAAGTGCCAACAGGTCCAAAGTGACCATCAGCTTCCCAGAGCGTCGAGAGCAGCCGAACCGACGCCACTCATCTCCCTCCTCGTAGTCATTATCGTCACTCTCGCCCTGCTTGATTCCAAAGCGTCGCGGACCGCCAGTGACGAGATCCGGATGGTTACATAGCTTTTTCAGAACCATCAGACCACCCAAAACTTGACCATTGCCACGCAGAATGTCCTGACAGATCTGAGAGCCGAGATACTCCTCGTACACAGAGCGTTGGTAGTGAGTGAGGTGGCAGAAGAGGACCTATCAGTAGAGGTAGTGAAAAATTGAAGTCTTACGTGACCCTCTTTTCACACACTCTGTACTAGGATTTTCATCGCAGTCTAGTGGACGCCAATTGCCATTTCCTTCATCCTCAAGCTAACTCATCTGTAACCTAAACGTCACGTATGTGAAAGACAAAAATTGTAGCCCACAATTGACATGGGAACAGGTAGATCAGACAACTTTTAGACACCATCCAATGCAGCAGCAATACTTGCTGATTTAAAGTAGTGTTTTTCAATAACGCTATTTAAATTGCACAATTAATCACATGGTCACCACACTTAGGAGTCATGTGTCCCATCCATGTCGCCTGGTTAAACATCATATTACATCTTCAGGGAGAGTTGGAACGCAACATTGGCAGTAGCTGGAAGCACATTCGGGTCAAATGAACAAAAGTGCTGATTTCGTTAGCCGCGTGCCAAATCGAAGCGCCATAAAAAGCAATATATCCTGGATGTTTGAAGCCGTAGAGACTCACCATAAAGGGATCATCGTAGTCGGTAAGAAAGCAACAGCTCATCTAAGTTCCATTCCATTTGGTTAAAATGTGACGTTCATTTACTAGCGACACCTGGTTGACGTAAATGGGCCGCCCATGGGTTGCTTTAGAATAAATCTTCTGATGGTAAATCAACTTGCTTTTTCTCGTTGTGTGTTTAAACGGGTTTCAGCTACCACTCCTGCTTCCAGCATTTCAAGAAACCTGCCATCTTGCAAATTAAAGTCATCTGTGGAGCAAGTTTCGAAACTAAACGATAATCTCGTATTATTCACAAGGATAGAGGCAATGCGGGCAACTCAGAACGTCAAAAGAAGTTTGGTTGACGAGAATATGACTGGATAATGTATGTGCATTGTACCGTTGGTCAACGGTTTGAGTAAGGAGTTCTATCATGGCAAATGGTATTAGGATCTAGATGAGAAACAAACTGCGTGCCACGTGGAAGGTAGACCTGGGTTGGGACAAAGGTGGTGGATAACCTGCGAGAAGCTGGGGTGGGAGGAAGCAACTAATGCATTTGCATATCCACCAAGACTTCGCATCCCAGCAATAGCAGCCAGAAAAGTAAGTTAACTGGATAGATAACGGAGGTGCGCTTTCACGTAAATTAAACGAGTAAGCGTCAGACGACCGACTTCTTTAAGACTTGTCCACCTTTACAATAACCTAACTTAGCATTGCAATTTAGACCAGCTTCATGAGCATTGGCCACTTTATGAAAATAAAAAAATTGCCACAATTACAATCTGACGGATTAAATGGCAAGGGAGGAGACATTACGCAATAGAACACACACATACGTCCAAACAATCACATACCAATCAAGCAAATAACCCAGCTAAACCAAAAAAATTCACTTACTTTAAACAGTACTTTACTGACTCTAACCACAACATTCCATAGTTAACTAAAAAATTCAGTCCGAACCCACCTGTTCTGACTTCTTGGGTAGCTCCAAGTGCACCTCCGTCTTTAGCCTTCGAAGAAGGTACGGCGATAGCACCCGCTTCAGTGTACATGCACACCGATAAGCCGTCTCAACCTAGCAAAGACAATACCAATCAATTCAAACACCTGCCCACCTCCAGAGGTGTAGCGTTGGCATAACCACCCTGTGTGATTGGCACAGCGAAGTTTACAAGAAAATCCATCATCCCACCACCCAGTTTGCCTGGGTAAACAAAATCAAAGATGCACCACAGCTCCTTTAGGTTATTCTGCATCGGTGTTCCCGAGACTATTAGTCGGTGAGGAGTGATGAATCGCTTCACCGTATTCGTGATCTCCGCCTGAGGGTTCTTGATCTTATGACCTTCGTCAAGAATCACGTAATGCCAGGCAAGGGGCACAAGGACATCGGAATGCTGAGCCAGGGTGCCGTAGGTTGTTAAAGCTATGCCCGAGGTCGCAAAGAGGCTGGAAATCAAGCGGGGCTAGAAGGGAAGAGAGAACAACTAAACTTGTTGCTATCATGTATCTGAGTGCGTGAGGCTCCTCAGCCTACCCCGATTGGTGATTAGGCTACTAGTCTGAAACAACATGAGTTTTCACGTCGAATCAGGATTCTGAGTTTACAGGAAGCGAAAATTAACAAACGGGGGAGCACCCACTTCACAACCCTTTCAAACTTGTCGTCCGTTACACTTAGATACCCATCCCAGCCTTTAGTTAATATCCCACAAACTTCAACACAAATTTGCCGTCACGACAGAACTAATCGAGGACAGTCTGCTAACTTTGCGAAGTTGATCACGGTAGTGATTGATTATGTTCACCATTCAGACAGATAGACGGGTCCCTCTGTACAATTCCATTCAAGGTTATAGTGCACTGGGCAGGCGTTTTACGCAGAGAATGTTCACAGGAACGTTGATGAATCTACCCTCAGAAAGGGATGCTTCCACCTTTCGCCAGATGGCCATGGCCTCCACTGGTCACAAAAATAGCAGCTGAGAATACCTGAATTCGGGGGGAGTAGCAAAAAGAGAACCATTGAAAAAGCAACAGATTGTAGCAACTCAAATCAACCCTTCATCGATAGAGGGCAGGGCATGCATGAAACGTCACTAAATCTGCAGCGTATAATGCCGCCAGGAAAGCAAAATAACAACGGTTCGTCTTGGCATGTTACTATCTGACCCGTGGTTGATTACGAGTCATGAATTATTCAGGAGTGAATCATGTCTACAAGTAGTCAAACCTAGGTCTATCAACGCGGTTACACATTTAAGCCTTGTCCTTGCTTGCGATCTATGACATCTTCAAATCAACAACTTACGAGATTGTTATATCCCGATCCGCTAGAGTGGACAATGACAACACGAGCAGTCGGCATCCATGTACGAAACTCTCCAAGCCACTGTTTCAACACTGTTCCGGGACAGACAATCAGAACCGGTGCCAGACCATCGAAAACACGGTTGGATTGTGGATTCTTCATCCGCGAAATTGCGACATCATAGCTACTCCCGGCTATTGGCAGCTTGGAGTGATACAAAGCTGCAAGGAAAGAAATTATCTGGACGGTTTTTCCCAGTCCCATTTCGTCACCAAGGATGCCGCCGACTCCGTGTTGATGTAGTCCCCAAAGCCAGGCGACCCCTTCACGTTGATAGGCATATAGACGACTCCAAATCTCGCCAGGAACCCGAAGACCACCCTCTAACACCTTCTCTTCCAAATCATTTCCACTGTGCTGACTTTTATAATCGCGAATTCGACGTTGGAAGGTCTTAAAGTCAGCATCGTCTATGTATGCTGATGAACGACTCACATTCTTCGGAAGTTGAGTAGGACTAGCTGGTACTCGTTGTTTGGTATTTTGACTAACTGAGGAGGATGCGGTAGTGACTAAAAGTATTATGATTATTCAGGAAGTCCTACCTTCGTTTATAAGCAGTGAGTCCTCTGGTTTACTTAAAATGTCTTTACAAGCTGTCTCACGTTTGTGTAGGGTATCAAGAAGCCTCATCTTTGTTTCAATTTCATTTTCAATACTTCGGATATTTCGCTCAGTAGTCCTGTTTCCCCCTTCTGTTACACTGCATAGCATTGCATCCAGCGAAAGCTCCAATTTCTTAATGTCATCTTCAGCAAACCTGATCATATCAATTTGGGACGAAATTAGTGATTTCCTACTTAATATCATCTCGGATATTTTGAAGGTTTTTTTCCAACTTTTCCTTCAAGTTGCATCGGTTCCTAAGTGTCTCCTCAACTTGTGCACAGACACCAGCATCGAAATCAGCTTCTTCATAGGCGGCATCAACGTGACAATTTGACCCAAGTTCTGAAAGCTTAGAAAGCTTTATTTTTGATCGATCAATCAGCATGGCTGAAAAGATCTGCAGGTTGCTTCAGTACCATGAGATTAGAGCCAATAGCGCTCTAGCATCAACATTAATTCTGCGGCTAAGGTTCATGATGTTCTAAATAATCACTATTTCATTTGGAACACTTGGATTATAGAGTCTGTCATTTATTTAAATTTCGAATCTTAAAGGAGTGTTATTCTTAAAAGTATTTGCTGCTAATATCATGTGCAACAATTATATGATTCACCTTCATTAGAAATTAACTTGCTATTATGAGTGATGCATATAGGAGACTTTCAAAATCACCAAAAATAGTAACACTGGAGACTCCTTTTCATTCTAAGTGTTGTAGTGAATATACACCCTACTAAGTTATATTGTAGCGCCCCGAGACTTCCCTGAAGACAAAAGAAGACACAATAGTTGGGCAGAATATATGCTCAGCAAGGAGAAGATGTTTGGGCTATTGGCATGGCTCAATGGCCAGCCTACTCAGTGAGGTAAAAGAAGGCTAATTCAAAGTACAAATGTGGGGCCCCACCAATACCGAGGGATCAACCACAATCGTATTACAATATTTACACTCAACCGAAACTTCCTTCCTATTTTTCCTCAGAGTTTCTTTTGCCAAACTCTCAAGGTCCAAACACTTAGATCGGGAAGGTCAAATTTAGATGCCACAATGGATTTTACTCCTAAGGGGATTCGTGGCTAGTGGAGTGCACTTGTGCAATATAAATAAGCTTGCAAGATCTCAGTAACGTTAACGAGTTTTAAACAGCAAGTTCCCGTACCTGGACTTAGGTGAGCAATCACTCATTGTTAGAATGCATGATAATTCAAGTCTCACTTTAAATAAGCTTCCAAGCTATACGTTCTAAAATCATTTATTTTACCGCAAAATCTCGATAGGATGCAAGGAAGTCACAAAAATTATCCTATTAATTTTTCAAAGTGAATTTCTGGAACTAAATGAACTTCTTAAATAAGTAAGAATATTTGTTGTAACTGGTGGAGATCTAATACCACCGATGTATCCCATGGAGGAGGTCCAGGAATATGCGCAGGCCTTCTTTAATCATGGTTTCTTCTGCATACAGGAGTGGAAGTGAGGAATTTCAAATAGTGACGCAAGTTATGGGACAGACCTTTTCCGTAATACTTCCTGTAATTTATTACGACCCCCAGCAAAATCATAGCTCCAATATTCGAAACATTCGGCTGGCTCAGAAAAGTTATTTTAGATAAAAATCTACAGTTTACGCATTAAATGGGGCGCCTCATCACTTCAGTCCGCGGTTGCAGCCTCTTTAGTGGTTTCGGAGGTAGGTTATTTGCCCAGTTGATGTTTTGACCCCGTCGGTGAAGATAAGTTGTGTAGCGAGTAACCTGCCATTGTAAGAATGGTGGCTGCTGAAGAACCGGTCACTGGTGTACAGTGATGGGGGAGATACAAGCTTGGTAGCTCTCTAAACGTAGCAGTAGTTGCTAGATTTTATTCACACCAACAATAGAAAAGGGGCCCTTGTAACACCTCTGCGATGGAAATAGTGCTGATTTCGGCACCAAGACTGTTACTGAAGCCCGTGAAGTTGAATGTGCCATTTGCCTGAAAGCAATCGGCTTACCTGAAACATTCAAAATGAATGATTGGTGATCAGAGCAGGGAGTAAGGACGTAGGGGACTACAAGCATCTGTTAGTGGCTAGCCACACCTTTGGGTAGGGTTTTGAGAAAAAAATACTATATTCTTCCTCCATCTGTACACTTACTCTGGGTTTAAATTGATTGTCCCCCTGAGGCCACTTCTTTCCACTCCAAATTGGTGCATTCGTTTGAGTGATGACACCGCTACTGCCTTCAGACTAATACAGTCTTTCGCAAAGTCTATGACTTGGCAAGGCTACTTCTTCGAGGAGTCGAGACGGAAGAGGGAAGTGGCAACTCAGATGAAATAACTCACACTCACCTTGGGTGAGAAATGTGCTACGCGTGCTTCGTGACCAACACAAATACAGGAGATTTGGTTAACAAACTATTTAGGCACTGCAAGAGACGAGAGCGAAATACGTGTGCACGATCGACCACCCAAAACTGCCACCATCGCCTCGAAGCTGATGGCTGCATTACCCGCCCTCTCCAATGCCTCCTTGAATGTGGTATTATGCAATTCTTGTGCAAAATTTTGAATAAAGTCATAATCGAGGATTTGTCCTGAATGATGGAGGTAATGTGGTCACTGCTTGATGGACGGTCGTATGATTCAGTTCCTTCAATATTTATCCCACTTACAGTTGCCACATAGACGGTTGGACAAGCGTTCCACTCTGCGAAGTGCTAATGGCCTTCTACAGACCACTAAACCTCACAAGACTTTAATACAGATATCTTGATTTGCAAGCGGGTGGGGGTAATTCAATCTGTTTACAATTTGGCACGTGACGTGACAGCTGGCTGACCAGCAGACACACCACGAACACACCACTGATTCAGGCGTCGACCTTGACCCTGTGCTGACCCAGACTGAGTAGTGGTAGCAGCATGGCTAAAGTACTGCTGGTCGTGACAACAGCCAACACGGCGAATCAAGATAAGGGGGCGACATTTTTGCATTGTTTCACATTTTGTCAACGTCTTGATTCCCACAGCACCATAAAGCAAGAATTTTCCCCAGAGCAGTATGCACTGCGGAAATGAGGAAAAGCCGATTCCAACGTCGATGACATTCCAGCCTACCATATAGCTCATTTTAGTCTACATTGTGAACTCCTATTCCATACACACACACACACATCAAATGGCGGAATGGTTTGAACATTGAAGCCATGGCTTCCAAAGAGGCTCAATTAAATTATTGAAAGTATCAACACAATCGCTTGACGCGCAACTCGAGTCGCTACATGGACTTCCTCATCTGCACTCTCGGATGCTAAAAAAACCATGCATAAAGAAGCACTGCACGTCTGACTCGACCTCACCTTCATGGATTACAATGTAGGAGTCATTTAGTCGGTAAAACGACTTCATGCAAGGTCTGTCTCTAGTCTAACCGATAAGCTGCGTGGATGCAGATGCCCTGTTGAGCTGAACTAGACTGATGAATGTTAAAGAGAAAAGAAGGGAATGACTATTGGCAAGCTGAAAGGTCACGTCTTTTGGATGAAATTGCCAGCTGCAGACCGAACACACAACATGAGAGGGTAAATAATTGAGGAGAATATCACATTACTTAGTCTTATTTTCCCGCTTAGTGTTGTCCTCGGAGACCCTCTCCTGCCTTGTAGGGTTCCATCATTAGGAGTAGATGTTTGAGGAAACTTTAGTAGCCAGACATGAAATGGCATGGTGATAGGTTACAGCCAGATGGGAGGAGGTACATACGAATGCTCATTTGTGCTGCCCAAGTACACATTCACCGCAGAAGAGTCTCTTTGCCAACAAATTTCGAGGGTACAAGCATGTCACTCGCATATCGCAGTCTTATGTACCTAGAAGGAAATTGGGAAATACTACTTCATTTAGTCTTCGTGCAGCTCTATTACGACCCGGCAGACCTTGGTGGCAATGGCTTGTGACGCACATCTAGCACAGAAACGTCGGTGGTTCCTCGCTTTCATTACGTCTCGCTTAGCACCGCTTGACGCTTTCCGCCTACCACCAATGTAAAACTTCGAAATTTCTTCCCATTTCACAACAAGTCACGTGCAGTATGGAAAAGGTCTTACTAATCACGCTCAAAACTTCTGCAAGGACAAAATTTCGAGCTTTAAGACATTTCCTTTGTCTCCAGATAAACAAATCTCGCTGAACTATTCACTACCTTGTCACGTGGCATCTGGACAATTCTTGACTGCTTGTTGGTTTAACGATTTCAGCCCACATCATGTAAGCAGTGTAAGTTCAACCAGTGAGACTCTTCTACCTGTTCATGCTCCTCCTCGCTTTCTAGGAGCTTAATCCCATTTTCCCTTCCATTTATCAGGATTCCTAATGATGCACTTTATCTGTGGTAAGGGTTTCGATGGTTTTGTCCTCCATGGCATCGCGGATGCGTGCCGATCATGCGGGAGACTGTGTTTCAGAGAGGACAATGCCAAGCTGATTTCCATTCCGGCATCATCCATGCACCGGACGATGGTGACGAGGGAAGAAGTGACTTGAAAGAAAGGCACCTTCTGTGAATGCAACACTCCGTGGTGGGAGAGAGATGGCATAGCTCTCATTAGTTCACTATGGAGGTGAATAGAATTGCAGGGTGCATCGTGGCCATTCGACTTCTTAAAAGGTATCCTGCATTTCGGACCAACAGCTCTCTTCACTTTCACCACTGTGGGAGCAGAAATCTGTGCTTTCGGTGCCCCCTCTGCCTAATTTGAAACTCCACCCGGTGATACACACTTCTTGCCAGCTCTCGTAGCTACTGCTCTCTTAGCCTTTGCATTCCTCGGCTCCTTCTTGTCGACAACCCTGTTTGCCAACTTGAAATTTCTCGAAGCTCCAGTTCCTTTGATGACAACTCAGGTGAGAGATGAGTTGCAAACACCGTGGATGATGGAGCTGCGCGGATGTGGTGTCATGCGCCCGATGCCGACTTTGTAATGAGCAGCAACGTGCGTCCTGACAACTGCAGACGAGGTGACCACACACTACTTGCAGGAAGTGGTCTCAGCATTGATCAATTCAAAAACGACATAGAAGTGGGAGGTAGAAGCCTCCAACTCAATGCCTTCGGCGCCAAAGCCAGTATGCCTCTATTGAAATGCACTCGCAGATGTGCACGACTATGGCGCGTGTTGGAACGAACGCCTACAAAGTCTCTGTCTCTCTCTCTTGCTTTCTAGGAGCTAAACCTCAATGAACTTGCTCGAAAACCTTTGCGCATTTGAAGCAAAATTTTCACCCGAAACTGTTTACAATGTGGCATGTGACGTGATAGCTGGCTGACCAGCAGACACACCGCTGATTCAGACATCGACCTTGACCCTGCGCTGACCTACACTGAGTAGCAGTAGCAGCACGATTAAAGTACAACTGGTCGTGACAACAGCTAACACGGAGAGTCAAAATGAGGGCACGACATTGTTGCATGCTAGGGAATTACCTATGACAAGAGAAGATGTAGCACAGGCGTCCCCAGTTCTAAGCCCGACCGAAATTAAAGTGACACCTAACTAACTCGCATTGCTTACAACAAGCCAGTAACCACGACCCATCCATCTCCACTGCACTAGTTGGACTTTACGCATTATCAAGTGCCTAGAGGGCATGTACAATTTGGCTGAGGCGGTCTACGGCCATTCCTTAAGGAGCGATTTGCTCTTGAATTAGGCATCCGCATGTCAGCAGTTAAAGAGGCCAAGTAAGGTTAGCAAGAGTGGTCGCGTCACTCAGCAGTTAACTCCTGCGTAATTTAGCTAGCACGAAATTCACTTAAGAGCATCAATGTCTGCTTGAATATCAACTGCTACATGTCAAATGAAGCAAAATGTTATTTTTTATAATGTTCTAATAAACGAGAAATGGGCATTCAGCTTAAACGACAAACAGTTGCAGAATGGCACAAAATTTTTAGATTCATCTACATTAATTCGATGTTTGTTTTAGTGAGGAGGTAAACCACAAAACCACATCGCCGATCACTATATTCGCCGACAGCCTGGGGGCATGACCTCCAGGCTGTGAGTAACGAGTAAAGTTACTCGCACACTGGACGGTGTGACGTGCTCAAATGTCGCGCTGAATTTATCCATTCGTAGACTCCTCTCCAACCACCATTTTGACCATTACTGGTCGTGACCACTCAAGTCCTCTTCACAGTTCAGGTTCAACTCGCAATGGAAATAAGTCCACGTCATTAGTGCTGTAATCCTGGTGACCCTCCTATCAGTCCACAACTTCTTCAACATGTTCCCAGTTGCAGTTTACTCCATTCCCTCCTCCTGTAACACTCCTACACGCCGCAGCAACATCGCCTTGAAGACACACAAAATCAGGCACGATGTAAGGTGAGGTGAGGCGGCGATGAGGGGTTTAAACAATCAAGTGTGGTGATGCCGACAATGAAGAAGCGCTATTACCCCTCATACAAACTCCTCAACACTAGCATCATCCATACGACCCACACAAGGACGTGCAAGTGCGAAACACCACAGTCTACCAACATTTAG